TGTAACACTTTATCGCGGCTGGTTTAGTATAAGGGTTAGGGGTTCGCAGTTTTCTGTGCTTGCGTTCCCTTATCCCTCGGCTCGTTCATAGGGCGCTTTTCTACCGCCTTATCTTCCCGATTTCGCCTGCGTTAAAGCGATTATTGAAACCGCTCTTTTCTACCGAACCGCTCGAGCCGCTACCTCGATAATTTTCGTAGCCTCTTCTTCCCTATCTTGCTTGCATCAATTCTCGCCTTCATCGCCATATTCTTGACTTGAGTTAAATTTCGAAACCGCACTCCAATTTTATCTCGAATGAAGGGTTTCAAACCATCAAGATATCTGGCCACCTGCTGTCCCTCCGTCTCTGATAAATTATTCCACTCCGCCAATCTCATAAATTCGGCCGTATACTCATGCATAGTCCAATTGCCCTGCTGGCAACGTTGGTATTGCTGGAACATAATCTGCTCATAGTCGGGTGGAAGGAATTCTTGCTTCAGCAGCCTCCTCATCCTAGTCCAAGTTCGAACTCTCTCTTTCCCTTCTCGTTCTCTCCTATTCTGTAATCTCTCCCACCATGCAGACGCACCGCCCTTTAATCTACAGGCTACTAATCGCACCCTTTTCTCACCAGGGGTCTCCATATAGTCGAAAAATCTATCTATATCAGCAAGCCAATCCAGAAATTCTTCTATGCCCAGACTACCATTAAAATAAGGGATATCGACTTTCAATTTAAAGTCGTTACCTTCACGATCGTCATAGCGTCGTCTTCCATCTCTTCGATCATATCCTCTTTGAAATCCCCCATGACGACGTCTGCCGCCATAATCAGCACGTTCCTCATCAAAATTTTCAATTTCTTCTTCTTCCGAACTCTCTGAAAATAGAGGGTTATTTTGCCTGCGGACAAGAACAGGCCTATCAACAGGATCACCGCGAGCAAGATCTGCACCCAGCCTTCTGTCGTTCCGCCGATTCCGGTTCACATCAACGCCGAGACCTTCGAATCGTTCTGTTAACTCGTCAAATCGTTCTTCGAAACGACGAAGACTTTGATCGAATCGTTGATCCAAGCGTTCCATTAAATGCTGCTCCTAACGTTGCAGCGCGTCGTCCCCAAGGGTTGGGGCTCCAGTCTCCTGAGCATCGTCACGAAGACCACCGCCAGTCGCCATAGGCTCTGATACCACCTGACGCACCGTTCCGCGAATAATTCTAGCAAAACCTTGCTTAGAAAGAAAAATCTCGAAATTCAATATTGATGATAAGAATGTTCTGTCTTCAAAACAACCCTAAACACCCTTTTATAGGGGTTAAACCTAATTACAATAGGAAACCTAATCATAATAGGAAAGTTACCTAATCTAAATTGGAAACCTAATCATAATAAGAAAGTTACCTAATCTGAATTAGAAACCTAATTACAATAGGAAATCTAATCATAATAGGAAAGTTACCTAATCTGAATTGGTAAGCGTAAAACATCAAAATTAGGAAACTGCCTTTTTAAATTACTCATAAAAAATATCCGATGTCGTCAACCGGGTCCACCGGTTCTAGTCACATTACCGTTTCGCCTTCCGTTTGGACTTTTGCCTATCCAATCAGTCCAGAAACGCACCACTAATAGATTCCGCATCAGCAAGTATTCATGAGTCTGGTACATATACTAAACTCAATCTGAATTGTCAAATTTGATGGGACTCACATGAACTCTCCATTTAGGGTTTATTTAGGGTTGAAGTGATGACGTCGTCCATGAATAGTGATCGTCTCTCATAGTCAGTCTCGCTGTGAAGCAGCAGCGGGGAGGAGGAAGAAGACGAAGCTAAAGCGCAGGGCCATAGTTCATCATTGATCAACAATTTAAATCATCGAAGAACCCTCTTGGCATCAGAAAAGGTAGGGCTCCAGAATGGGATTATATTCAAAGTCTGAAACGCTCTTGGTGCAAAAGTGTGAAGCTTGAGAGAGCTTTTCCAAGAATTCGCGACTACGTCGGACGAAATAATCCGACTTTGGAAAGGGGGGCCAATGCAACTGATCTCAATCTTGATGCCCAGGTCTGTGCTTTCAATTTCAAGACAAAGAGAACGTCTTCTATCTCTCTTCTTTAAGCAGACAGACCTCCGTCGAGCGGGGTGTTGAAGTCGAAACGGAAGGATGTCGGAGAAGCCTTATGTTTGGTTGGTGCTGAAGTGCTTCACTAACTTCCTAAATTAGCCGATGTAGTCACGACTCGAAAAGGGGCACAAACATGGAGCGAACAGACATGTCTTCTCATGGCCATTTTTTGCGCCGCAACCAAACTTTTTGCATTTCGACATGCATCCCGACAGACTCCAGGACCTTCTCGACGGCACGGCATCTGCTGTGGCCGATGGCCATAGAGCAGGACGGGCATCCGTTGCTGAGTTTTCTGCAGCAGGAGTAGCAAGCTATGTCCCCATTTTCACATATTTCACCGAACGAAGACAAAGGACTACCATCCGTTCAGACATATGACAGCAACTACCACAAAGATTGCCACTTTGTCCAGATATACAAAGTCTCATCCCGAAGATGCTGTACATGTACATGGAAATATACTCATCACAATAGGAATCCGACTCTGTGCCCTCCAAAAGTCAAAAGAATCACATGTTGAGTGACAATCGAGCCATTTTTAACATTTTAGCGATTGTGGTTAAATACATTTTGAGTTGAGAGCGATCCCACGTGTATTAGCACATCAGCCCATAGGCTGTAAAAGGGATAAAATTTGAGGACGACCTTCAGTATATGTATTCTGTACATGTATTTGCTTTGAGATTAACTTTTCCCAAATATTTCATTCGAATATTTCCCAAGTACATGTTGAGTTACTAAAATACTGCTTTCAGATTAACTATGTTAATTAAACACTAGGGAGTGTTGAACAAATATAAAATTAAAATTAAACACTAGGCAAAGCTTGTTACAGAAATAGGGATTTTTTTATTAAAAATGGCGTATTATTTTTCAAAATATCTCATTAATGAGTGAGACGTAAATTTAATTACAGAAAGTAAGATATTAGCAAGATTAGTTGATGGTTATCTTTACTATTAGAATCACGAATGTGTCCATTTTATCATCTCACATTATACTACTAAATCTTAATTTGAGAAGAAGGGTCTTCTTATTGAATTTTGTGAATAAAACTTTGAAAGTGAAACTTTTAATTGAATTTGCTTTCAAAGTGATTCTTCTAGGATAATGACACAAATAGTCCTTAAATTTTGATCCAATATATAATATGATCTTTGAATTTTTAATTTATTTAATATGGTCCTTGAAATTTGACACAATGGGCAATACGGTTACTAAACTTTTACTTTGTTCAATGTGGTCACTGAACTTTTGGCAAATACTCAAACTAATCTCTGAATGTTCGATGTTATACTCAAACACTTTAGGGATCAATTTGAACATATATCAAAAGTTCAAGAATTATATTGAACAAATTAAAAATTCAGTGACTACATTGCACATCGATCTAAAGTTTAAAGATCATATTAAACAAATTAAAAGTTCATTGATCACATTGCATATTGGGTCAAATTTCAGGACCACAATGGACATTAGACCAAAATTCAAGGATCATTTGTGACAGTGCCATGCTTTTGCCACTCACTCTATCACTAATCCACTCCCTTTAAAGTGTTTGATCATTTTATCCTTTGTGTTCTCACGTTTTTGGCATCCAAATGTTACTTCTCCTTGGTCATATGTGGTGTACTTTATTTTATTTGGTTTCTTCGTTTTCTTACCCTAGAGATCCCACTCCTTTTATTGCCTCTGTGCATAGCAGAGGCCCTTATTTTGGCAATTCTCAAGGCAACAATAATGGCGATGATAAACAACCACGACGATGAAGAGGAAGATAATATCGCCGCATCAAACCAACTGGAGGATCACCACCTTCAATCAATCAACGCCGCCATCGCCATCCGCAAACTTCTTTTCTATGAACACTCCTTCCAGCACTAGCCTGCCGCTATCACTCTCCTCCACCTCCTTGACTCCCGCTTTTTTGACCTCGCAACGAGCCTCCTCTCCCAGTTCCCCATCGACCACCCCCGCCCCTGCCATCGGCAGCTCAGCATCCTCGAGTTCGGCTTCAGCATCGGCCTCATTGGGATTGTGGCCGCATTCGTGCTCGGCTCCTACGTCACCATCACCGACCTTCCACACTTGGTCCCAACCTCCAGTTCAGTGCGTCGCGGCCTTGGCTGTGAGCGTCAAAAATCATTCGTTCCCTCCATCTTTCACCGTCATTTTGAATCTACAGCTTTAGAGTTGAAAATCGCTAATTCCCCTTCAAAGAGAGGCCAATTGCAGTGTCTTGAAGAAGGTAAAACGACCAAAGAGGGGAGAAAACTAAACAGAGACTCTTCTGGAGGCCTTTTCTCAAAACCCAGATGGCAAAATCGATACGAGAGAGAGAACTAAGAAAGTGATATGAGTGAGGACCAGAGGATAAAAGAAGAGAGAAAGTGGGATTTTTTTTTTAAAGCAGTGCGTAATTATTGAGGAGCGGGGCCATCAAGGAAAGAAAAACCAAATAGAAGGAGGGGCACCACATTGGACCGAGGAGAAGTAACCTTCAGATGAGAAAACGTACGAATCGCAAAAGAAAAAAATATGGTCAAAAATACTGTGAAAGAGAGTGGATGAGCAATAGAGGAAGCGGAAAAAGCGCCACCTTTTTACTTTGAAAGAGAGAGAGAGTAGCAGACGCTCTCGGAGACAGAGAGAATTGAAGAAAAAGAGGGAAAAGCAAAAGAGAGAGAACCCCCCCACCGGTCCAACCGGTCACCCCTTTCCCCTCTTCATACATTCCCTCGCCTCACCGTCTTCTCCAATTTATCTCTCCCCCCCACCCAAAATTCACCTTCTTCTTCTTCTTCTTCACCGAAAGAAGTTCCTAATTCCCAAGCCATATGAATAAAGGTTGTTCCTTTTTGGCCATTGTGGGTCAAATCCGATCGATGGCTTCCAGGAAAGAAATGGATCCGATCGATGGTCCGTGGAGCCCCAAGGAAGACGAGGCCCTCCGGAGGCTGGTCCTGAAGCATGGAACCATGAACTGGCTGCGAGTCAGCAAGCCCATCCCCGGCCGGTCCGGGTTATCGTGCCACCTCCGTTGGTGCTACCAGCTCTCCCCGCAGGTCGGGATCGTCGCTTCAAGGAAAGAAGTGGGTCCGTGGAGCCCCGGGGAAGACGAGGCCCTCCGGAGGCTGGTCCAGAAGCACGGAACCATGAAGTGGTCGCGCATCAGCAAGTCCATCCCTGGCCGGTCCGGGTTGTCGTGCCGCGTCCGGTGGTGCTACCAACTCGCCCCGCACGTCGAGCACCAGGCCTCCACGCCTGAGTAGGTCGCGAGATCATCGTCCGGGCCACACCCGTTTCACACTAACGTATATACTAGAATGAGTACCGTTAGAGCATGTATGACTATCTCCTGGTAGACCATTGATGACATAGGCCACGGACAAGTCTAGATCGCCTCCGAATTCAAGATCCTCGGTGAAAATGGCCTCCATGTCTCTCGCGTACCATTCAGCAGCATGCCAAATTATAATTTTCTTAAGAAAAACAATGCAAACTGTTATTTGTGTGCATGTGTTTGATCGAGCGAAAAACTTATTTCTATCGTTTAAGTTAGTTGCAAGTGATATACAGATCATGATTGTGTGTTGTTCATCAAACTTGTAAGGGTAGTTGGAATCGTTGCTAGACAAAATGATTATAGGGTCGTGTATAGTGGCACGTGTCCAGTTGCCGTGAGCGTGCCACTTGTTAGAATAGTATAAAATTGATTGTTGCATGAGCACGTTGGTTGCTGAGTTCTAGATTTGGTTTGATGTCTTAATTCATGTTTGAGTGTCAAAAGGAGTGAAGACTGCACAGTTATCGGCTCATTTAATGAGTGAATTTTTACTTTGTTGACATTTTGTCCTAAGGATAATAAGTGTGTGGGATGTTTGTCTTCATCATTAAATGTATTGTACATGTTTTGCTACTACATTAGAACGTGAGGGTGAGTGTTGTATTTTGATCGAAGCCATCAGAAAACATTTTAAGAACAATTTCTCTCTTCAATTTTCTGACCTTATTTCAATTTCCAAAGTTGTTATTCTTTGGTTCCATAATCACCACAGCGCATGCCTTTTTCTTCGACGAGTATGATTTTCTGAAGGAAGCTTGAGTTCTTAGTGATCAGGCGTTGCGTGATGTACTCCGACTCCGAAGAACTCATACGACGCTTCTCATTCACCACACCGCGCACAGAAATTAAGTTTGATGACACTCCTCATATACATTTATCTATAGGCAAGAAAATGATCCTGGGGGGAAACTAAACCCTAAAAGTCCCATCTAACGAGATATTCATGCAGTGAACTTGAGTTTCAGGAGCTCTACACTACTCCAAACAAGGACGTACAAAACTGAAAGACCCTTCCAAGTTCCAATACGTCCAGGCTTCCTTGTCAGGACTAATTTTCATATCAAGAGAAGGGCCGAAGGTGTTTCTCTCTTCTAAGAAGAGCAAGCTTTAGCATGGCTAATAAGTGGATGCTGATCAGGCTACCATATCTTCGGTGTATCACTGACGCAGGAATTTCATGATCCTTAAGGTGTTATACCTTTTACGGGAACCAACTTTCCTCCATTTCCCAGGTGGAAGGAGGTTTCAAAAGATGGCACCAGTAGAGAAATGCGTTTCATGTAACATTGATCTAAGTCAACCAGCTCTTAGCTGCATATGGCTCGCTCGAAGAACATCCACTCTGTTTCATTGAGACCGGAAAGATGGATTGCAACCTTTCATCCAAATCACTAGCTTGTTACCGTTTGTGCCCAGAAACGTACATTGATCACGACATCAATTTCCAACTTTGGGATACCCTGAGTGCACCGAAAGCACTTCCGATCCTGACAATTTAAATGTGACTCGTGTCCGATCAATTTAACACCGATGCAAGATTGCTTGATAAGGTTAACCACTTCCAGCACAGACCAGAAGTGCCGCTACAATTCAGTCCTGTCTCAGGCCAAGCGCACATCTTCGGCCAACGGTCAGGTTGCTAACATCAAATCGATGAGGCCGAGAAGAAAATGTACTTTGACCAAAAATGACGGGAAAAAGGGCATCCCCGCAGAAACCTTGCTCCGCTTTCGCTTTACATTGCGGAGACTAATATCAATTGAACCTGAAGAATGGGGCTCGTATAGATGATTGACTTAAGTAGACAATATTGGCGGGTGGTGAATATGATTATTTGTATGACCACCTTTCTGATGTTTCAATATCATCTTTGGGAACTCATTACAAGGAATGGAGATCACTGCCTTAAATAATTCGATCACAGAACATCCGATATGACAGAATACCGACCGCGATGTTACTTCCGTCACTCAGCCAAATCACCAAATGCCAACTATGACGTATTTGATGACACTTCGCAAGTGACAATTAATATGCACCACGTGGATGGTCTAGATACTCATAAATCTTTCCTAAGAAAGTGACCAAACAATCTACCCAATTCAACTGATCATTCTTCTTAAAACAATTCATCTGTTCATCAAGAAATGTCTTCTGGGTGAAGGATTTGAAGCAAGATGACACTTACTCAGTCGATTATTCAAAGTGAAGTTCCTACTGATGAATCAACAGCATATTTGGCAAAAAAAAGATAAAAGAGAATGAAAGAACGAAAGAGAAAATATCAACGGCTTTAGTCTATTGCCCCGCTACGCCATATGCACGCTTCAAACTTGAGGCCCGAGAAATCATCGTAGAACCCTCTCGGCACCAAAAGGTAGGGCCCCAGATTCGGATTATATTCGAAGTCTGGAAGGCTCTTGGTGCAAGTGCAGAGCTTGAGAGAGCTTTCCCGAGAATTTGCGACTATGTCGTACTTATAAGCCGCCTTTGGCAAGGGGCCAATGCAACTGATCTTGATCTTGCTGCCCAGGTCTACGGTTTCATTTTTCAAGACAAAGAGAACACCTTCTCTCTCTTCTTTAAGCAAACAGACCTCCGTCTCAGCATTCATCAAGAGAGAGGTATTGAAGTTGAAACGGAAGGATGTCGGAGAAGCCCTGTGCTTGGTGCTGAAGTGCTTCACTAACATCCTAAACGAGCCAACGTAGTTGCAACTTGAAAAGGGACACAAACAAGGAGCGAACGGACACGTCTTCTCATGGTCACTTTTCATGTGGTAAGGAAACTTCTGATTGCAGCCAAACTCTGCATTTCGACATGCCATCTTTAAAGACTCCAGGATCTTCTCCATGGCGCGGCATCTGATGTAGCCGATAGGCATAGAGCAGGACGGGCATTTGTTCCTGATCTTTCTGCAGCAGGTAGAGCAAGCTACGTGCCCATTATCACACTGTTTCACCATGCGAAGACAGTATTATCAATTCATACATATAACAGCAACTATCACAAAGAACGCCACTTTGTTCAGTATATACATCTTATCCTGAAAAACGTTGTACATGTACATGGAATTTAGTCACGAAAATAAAAACATGAGATTAAGTGGCACAAGCTAAAATAAGAGCCAAGGTGAAAAAAAAAAATTAACACCTACCACTGCGACAATTAACACAACAGTAGGTTCAGTCAACCTTAACATCTGACAAAGCCAGAACATCGTATGTACTCCCAACAAAGAGACGCAATTTTTAGTTTAATCCTGAAAAGAGATATCATCCACACAACAAGGCTAGTGTACTAACCAGACAATCCAATAATGAAACCCTGTTATTTTTCTGAAAACACTGAGGTCAGTGAGAGTAGGACACTCTTCTTCAATTCTCTTTGATCAAGAACCAAGCTTCCTGTGAGGCTCAGTGATTAGAGACAAAAGACCAAGACCTTTCAGAAAAAATTATCTGTTGGCAGATAGATGATCGAGGCTAAACTAAACCCTGAAAGTCCCCATCTAGCGAGATATTCAAAATTTGAACATGAATTTCAGGAATACTCCCACTCCAAACAAAAACATACAAAACTAAAAGACATTTCCAATACGTCCAGACTTCCTTGTCAGGGCTAATTACATAATAAAAGAAGCGCCAAAATGGTCAACCAGAAGAGCAAGCATTAGCATGGCTAATTGGTGGATTCTGATTAGGCTACCATCCTCAGTTTATCACTGACGCAGACATTTCATGGTCAGTGATTTTAAAAGATGCAAACATTTCAAAATCGGTGATCCTAAATGTGTTTTACCTTTTATGTGAACCAATTTTCCTCAACTTCCCAGGTGGAAAGGTTCAAAAGATGGCACCAAAAGAGGAAGACGTTTCGTATGACATAAATCTAAGCCAACCGACTCTCAGATACATATCGGTCAACGAATATCCACTCTGTTTCATTAAGACCCTAAAGATTGATTATCTACTTCCATCCGAATCACTAGCTTGTTACCATTTGCACCCAGAATTCTACATTAATCACGACACCGACTTCCAACTTTGGGATCCCCTGAGGGCGCCAAAAAGCACTTCCGATCGCGACAATTCTAACACGACTCAACCAATAAAGTCAACACTGATTCAACATTGCTCAATAAGGTTAACTACTACCAGCACAACCCAGAGATGCCGGCACAATCTGGTCATGTCTCGTGCCAACCACACGGCTTTTGTCAACGATCAAGTTACTGAAATCGAATTGATTGAGGCCGCCAAGAAAAACGTATATCGACCAGAAAGGAAGCAAAAAAAAGGGCATCCCAACAGAGGCCTTACTCTGCCTTCAATTAACATGCAGAGACTAATACTGATTGAGCAGCTCAGTTTCACAAACAATTTGACCCATAACAAAAAACTTCACTCACAACCCCCGAATAGCCACGAAAGACTCGAAATTCATCAGCAAGACGCGAGCTTTTCGTCCAAAACCCGCAATTCTACTCTCCCTCATTCAATTCATGCATGCCCAGCAACAACCCACAATCGAATCACCAACAAGCAGTCGACAGAGAAATGAAAAAACCCGGTCAAAAGAAAATTGGAACCTGAAAAACCGGGATCGACAGGGGCTCGAGACAGACGGCGCAGTCAAGCACATCTGGGTCCTCGAGAGTGACCTCCAGCGGCCCAACCGTCCGGCCATACGAAGGGGACCGACCACGACCGTACGAGGCCCCGTCCCCGTGCCGTTCCGTGGACACCGATCGGTCTCCATCCCGCTCTTCCGATCCTCCCTCGCTCCGGTTCGACTCGTCCCCCCCTTCACTGTCCGAATCCCGGTCGTCCTCCCCCTCTTCTTCTCCGCCACCCTCTTCTTCCTTGACGGGCCGGCGCCGGCTCCGGCTCCGGCTCCGGCTCCGGCTGCCTTCACCTTCCTCCGACGGGTGGCTGAAGGAAGGTGGGCGGCGCCGCCTGCCGAGCACGGAGCCGCCGCCGCCGGGTACCCCCTCCTCCTCCTCCTCATCGTCCTCTCCCTCCACCGAGAATCTCGCCATCACTGCCTTCTGGTGTTGTAGTATCTCCCCCTTCCGATTTGTTAGGCCAACGTGCGAGGCTAGTATTTATACGCGTACGGCTGCGCAGGATACATCAGTATGGTCTACGTACATTGGCTTATACGATGCGAGGGAAAGTAATTTCCCGAAGATTTTTTTTATTTCATTTCATTTCATCTTTAATTTCAGGACATTATGTTAAAAATTGATTTGCTCAAGAGATAAAAATTAATCTATTTTTCGAAAGGTTTCATAATTTTTATCGACGTTCGATAATAACCTCAATGCATGTAATTAATGCTAGTTTTGGATTGTAAACTTTTCACCATTAAGTTTCTAAATACGGGAGTATTTCGTTTTGACTTTGAGCGGTGATGCTCTTGTGCAGATGTTTAGATACTGATTTATTCTTGCCATTTATTTTCCCACTGTATCAAATCATCGTAAAAAACATAAGGGACAAGAAATATCAAACTATCGCGGTAGAAACCCTCTTAATGTATTTGAAAGTTTATGCTACTAGTTATTATTACATATTAACTTTGTAATTTATTAAATGGTGAATCGGGAATAGGCAATTTTCAAAAAGGAGGATCGGTCGGATGCCTCGGTTCAAATACACCATGGAAAATGTTTGCAATCATGGAAAAAAATTCTTCTAAAATAGAGGAAAATGATTTCCGCTAAAACGTCATCGTCTATGCACTCCTTTTAATTATTATTTTTTATTTTTTTCTTTAAAAAAACAATATTTTAAATATTTTTCTTTTCCTTTTTCTTTTTTTTTTCTTTTTCTTGCTTTCTTTCTTTTCCATCCTTTTCTTTTTCCTTCTTCCTTGGCCGGTTGCATACCATAGTGACGGCGACAACCGGTTGGCAATGGACCACAGAGTCACAACAAGCTCGCCCGAGGCCGATGAACTCAAGGCCTCGCGATTCACAATCTGGGGAGCTCAACCTCGCCGAATTTGGCAAGGTGGACTAGCGAGGCTCGACTTGGCTTGGCTCGCCAAAATCTAGCAAGCTCAGGCCTCATTGGCCTATGGCGAGACTCGAGCTCGCCTATGGCCAATCATTGGCGATGAAGAAGGAAAAAGAGAAAGAAAAAAATAATAATTAAAAATGATTAAAAAAACCAATACATGGAGGAAAATAAAATCAAAATTTTCATACCAAATAGCAAAAAATAATTTTCAGGTCTTCTTCATATTTCAGCCAAACACCAAAAAATTGTCATTTTCCTAGCAAATAGCTTATTGGAAAACATTTTCTAGAAATATCACATCTTCTGCGAAACGAATAAAGACTTCAAAAACACTCGCAAAAAAAAAAAAAAACTAGGCGAGAGGCTGAGGCCAGGCCTCCCACCTGTAGCCGCCACCTCATCACTGGGGAGGTGTCGGCCATGGCCGGAGGGGTCGCCAGCGCGTTAACAAGGGCCAGCGACCGTAGCCCAATCCTATCCCAAATCAGCCCTTACCCATGTTTAGCCACAGCCCTCCCCTAGATGGTAACAAGAGCCGATGTCCCTCACCCAAATTGAGGAGAGGGTCGCAGCCCTTTCCTAGTTCTAACAATGGCCTGCTGGCCCTTGCCTCTGGTTGGCGAAGTTCACTAGCCCTCGATGACCATGACCAATGCCCCACTGGCAATGGGGCGGCGGTCATAGGCGGGAGGGTTCACTTGCATTTTTTTTCTTTTTTAAAAAATTGATTTCTTAAGTTTTAATCAAATTTAACTAAAATTTAGGTTAAAATTATCTTTGCGCGAAAATGCCCTTCACTAGCCAAAATATTTAGTCGGACTGCAAGTTCAGGCACTTATTTGAAATTGCCATGACTACTTCAAGCCCTTATTTGCTCAATAAGGGTAACTAATTTCAGCACATACCAGAGTTATTGTCACAGGCCAAGCACACTGCTTTCGAATGGTCAAGTTGCTAACATCGAATTGATGAGGCCAAGAAGAAAACATACTTTGACTAGAAATGACGGGAAAAAGGGCATCCCCTTTCACTTTACATTACAGAGACTAATATCAATTGAGCAGCTCGATTTCATTCGCAACCCCCAATTAGGTACGAAAGACTTCATCATAAACATGAGATCTTCTCATACAAAATGTGCAGTTCTACTCTCACTCATTCAATTCATGCCTAGCAACAACCGCAATCGAATTACCAACAAGCAATCGACAAAGACTGAAAAACCTGTTGAAAGAAGATTGAACCTGAAGAACAGGGCTTGTATTGAGGGAAATAAACTATGTTTTTCTTTACTTCAATGTGAAGCATAGGTATGCAACAATTATCTCTTTTTCTACTTTTACGTGGAATTGCATAAGTTTTCTATTTCCTTATATTACTTACAGTAGACTCTGCTAATTTCAGTTCTACTTGTTCTATTATTATTATTATTATTATTATTATTATTATTATTATACCCCTAACTCATCAAGAATAAGGAATGTCACGGTTGTCCTTTCACCAAAGGGCGCATCCTAAACATAACCAAAACTCATCCTGATATCAAAATATATACATATATTTGTGCATGATAAAAAAGTTATTTGATTATAATAGTAGAGTTCACTGTAAACCATCAAAAGACTATATACACATCTCCAACAAAAAAAAAACTAACTCAAAAGCTCTACAGCTATGCACAACTCATACGAAAAGTTCCCACCATCAAAAGTCTTCTCAAGATACCGAAACGCCAATGCCTTGCTTACAGCTCACTGATGAACCCGAAAAGCAAGTAAAATGAGAGGAATGAGCATAGCTCAGTGAGTAATACATTTCTTCTAAGTAGATCGAGCATCCACTATACACAATTACAAAACCAAACCATAACTCATTTAACCCAATTCAAGCATATAACAAACTTCAATATCAAAATACTTTATGCACTACTTTAACATAACATTTTCACAATAGAAATATTCATTTCAATCAATAATATCGAAGGAAAAACCAATAGTTCAGTCCATTGATCAATATCATCGAAAACACATGCCAATGATCCATTTCATTGGCCAATTTCGTGTCCAGAAATTTAACCATGATCGTGGATAACGCCCCGTGACAAGGATCAAGATTCCCTCATTGACAAGGTCTCCACCTATTATAAACCGGTGGCTCTGCCCACAATGATATTCTAGACTAGTATGTGCATACCCACAACCCCTAATGAGTTGAGAGAGACACTAAGAATGAGTACTTACCACAATAATATTTTTCACAATCCATAAAGCCAAATCCAGAAACCATTTCATATATTGCAAAACATTTCTCAAACCAGTTTAGAATCCATTTCATAAACCATTTCACAAATTTGTATATAACCATTAAAAAATTATATTCAAAGTTACGAACTTCTCATGAGTCTTTTTCAAAAGGTTTCTTAAACTCATTTACATTTAATAAGCTCAAACCGTAATCAAAAGATAATTTTCCATATCAAATAGACAAAACGGTAGTAAATGCTCGATTCATTTTTATACAACCAAAATACTCTTATCTCACAACATATTTATAGCATATTATTTTCGAAACATGAGTTTACAAAATCAAAGAAAAAATAATACCATTTACCTGAAAAGGCTGAAAAATATAGAGGTGGTTACTCAAGCCAATGCGCTCGAATACCTAACAATTAATCGAAAAACGGTATCAAAAATTGAGTAAACCTATATTCTAGCGAACGACTTAACAAAACTACGTTTATTTGTCGGTAAAACGACACTTACACACCAATGGCAAGCTCGCCCACAGTGGATAACCATTGTTGTCCGCTATGCGTAGCTCACGTGACGATCTTGTTCAAGCCATAATTTCATCTACTGAACATTATTTCAAATAAATTTATAGTCCATAGGAAGCTCTTTTTACGTAGTACAAAACCCTTAACTAGATAAACCCAAAAACTAGCCGAACACCAAAGAAATTCGCAATTTGTCCAGCATATATAGCAAACTTCAAAATTTTGTTCTGGGCAAACCACAAGCTTAAATCGAGATCCGTAAAAAGCTATAGATTCACAATACCCAATACTTTCATTTATATATAAATAAACTAAAAAGTGTTCAATTAATTTATAGATTATTGGTTTATAAGTGATTTTAATCTAGACATCTACGTTTGTGATTATTAAAATAAGTATGAAAAAGTTTAGTTACGTAAATATCTAAAATGTAATCAAAGTAACCTATGAATCTTGTTGTAATTCCCATGGTTAAAATAATACATTGTATACTTACAAATAATATAAAGCTAATTAAAATCGCAAGCATGAAAAATCATATGTAATGCAAAGGTAATATATAGAATGAAAAGTAATATAACGCAGAAGGTTAAAACCATCCATAAGAACGGTAATCTAAAGATAATGTGACATTCCACAAGGGCGGTATTTGGCTCGCGACGGAAGTCCCAATGCAAGTAAATAAACACAATTAATTAAAATGTGATCATTCACAAAGGTGGTGGTCTGCTCATGAGTGAGATCTTACTTAATAAAGAAAATTAATTACAATTTGATCATCCACAAGGGTGGTAGTCCGCTTCGCGTGGGAGATCCTACTGATATTCAAGACAAGTAACAGAAATTATAAAGTAATTACAATGTGATCATCCACAAGGGCAGTAGTCAACTTCACGAGGGAAATATATTCAAGAAAAATAACTAAAATTATAAAATGATCAAGCCAACCATGGATTGGTAGGTAATCTCTTCATTAGATGAAGAACTCACAAGTGATCGGATGATATAAATCGAAGTGATATTGTGATGCAAATCGAAGTGATATTGCGATACAAGTAGGTGATTTCGAAGTGATCTTGTGATACAAAGCAGGTGATTGAAGTGATACAAGTGATGTAGCTATGATGGGGAGTTACAAGTGAAGAGGTAAGAACAAGAAGAAGAAAATGGGGAAGATACGAGATGGAGGTTTTCGGAAGAGGTGAGCAAAGGGGGAGGAAGAGAGGAAACTAAGCTAGAGAGCTAGAGAACAAGAGAGGGAAGAGCTAGAGTGTCGGGGAATCTGAAGGGTAGAAATAAGCCTGCTGATTTCCTTCCTTGTGCCTCTTTTTATAGACTCCTTGTGTGTAGCCCAACAACCCTCAATCGGACGGAACAATACAGAATTGACAAAACTTCGAATTTCAAATCCTAACTTTGATGATTCTCCGATTAGACGAATAACATGTTCGAACACTTACCCACATTGCAAAACGGTTTCTTGTTTTGTCCGCTACTCAAGGTGCCGATGAAGAAGAAGACAAATGAGATGGGATGGACTTGACTTAAAGAGAAATAGACTAGTTGAGACCTATTTATTACAATTATTTCCTGGAGTTCTCGCGACTTATTTTTTTTTTTATCGGAGAGTTCTCACAATGTTTGCTAAGTCAGTTTTGGCACTCTTAATAAATGAGTAGAAGTAGAACGCCCTTTGTCTACTTTGTCTTATTAAGTAGACAAAATTGGTGGGTGACGAATATGGTTATTTTTGTGACAAACTTTCGGATGTTTCAAGATCCTTAATAAAGATGCGAACTCATTATAAGGAATGGAGATCACTATGGTTCGATCACAGAACATCCGATATGACGGAACACCGACCGCAATGTTATTTCCATCACTGCCAATTTAAAACAACAAATGCCAAACGTGACGTATTTGATAACACTTCGCAAGCAACAATTTATTTGCATCGTGTGGATGGTCTAGATACCCATAAATCTCTCTTAAGAAAGTGACCAAACAATCTGTCCAATTCAACTGATCATTCTTCTTAATACAATTCATAAGTTCATCAAGAAATGTCTTGGGGGTGAAGGATTTGAAGCAAAATGACACTTGTTCAGTTGATTATTGACAGTAAAAGGTCCAACTAATGAATCAACGACATATCAGTAAAAGGAAAAAAACATGAAAGAACGAAAGAGTTTGACCAAAAAAGAAGAAAAAAAAAAGAACGAAAGTGAAAGTATCATCGGCATTAATGTATTGCTCCGCTACGCCAAATGCACAATTCAAACTTGAGGCCCAAGAAATCATCGACGTACCCTCTTGGCACCAAAAGGTAGGGCTCCAGATTAGGATTAAATTCGAAGTCTGGAACGCTCTTGGTGCAAGTGCGAAGCCTGAGAGAGGTTTCCCGAGAATTTGCGACTACGTCGTACAAATAAGCCGCCTTTGGCAAGGGGCCAATGCAACTGATCTTGATCTTGCTGCCCAGGTTCACAGTTTCCTTTTTCAAGACAAAGAGAACACCTTCTCTCTCTTCTTTAAGCAAACAGACCTCCGTCTCGGCGTTCATCAGGAGAGAGGTGTTGAAGTTGAAACGGAAGGATGTTGGAGAAGCCCCATGCTTGGTGCTGAAGTGCTTCACTAACATCCTAAACGAGCCAACATAGTTGCAGCTTGAAAAGGGACACAAACAAGGAGCGAACGGACACGTCTTCTCATGGTCATTTTTCATGTGGTAAGCAAACTTCTGATTGCAGCCAAACTCTGCATTTGGACATGCCATCTGGATAGACTCCAGGATCTTCTCCATGGCGCGGCATCTGATGTAGCCGATAGGCACAGTGCAGGACGGGCATTTGTTCCTGATCTTTCTGCAGCAGGTAGAGCAAACTACGTGCCCATTATTACACTGTTTCACCATATGAAGACAGTATTATCAGTTCATACATATAACAGCAGCTATCACAAAGAACGCCACTTTGTTCAGTATATACAAAATCTTATCCAGAAAAAACGTTGTACGTGTACATAGAATTTACTCGTGACAATAAAAACATGAGATTAAGTGGCACAAGCTAAAATAAGAGCCAAGGTGAGATAAAAATTAACACCTACCACTGCGATAATTAACACGACAGTAGGTTCAGTCAACCTTAACATCTGACAAAGCCAGAACATCATATTACTCCCAACAAAGAGATGCAATTTTTAGTTTAATCCTGAAAAGAGATATTATCCATACAACAAAGCTAGTGTACTAACCAGACAACCCAATAATGAAACCCTGTTATTTTTCTGAAAACACTGAGGTTAGTGAGGGTAGCACACCCTTCTTCAATTCTCTTTGATCAAGAACCAAGCTTCCTGTGAGGCTTAGTGATTAGAGACAAAAGAGTTTTCAGCAAAAATTATCTGTTGGCAGATAGATGATCCAGGCTAAACTAAACCCTAAAACTCCCCATCTAGCGAGATATTCATGCTTTGAACATGAATTTCAGGAATACTCCCACTCCAAACAAAAACATACAAAACTAAAAGACACTTCCAATTCGTCCAGACTTCCTTGTCAGGACTAATTACTTATTAAAAGAAGGGCCAAAAGAGTCGATGAGAAGAGCAAGCTGTAGCATTGCTAATTGGTGGATTCTGATTAACCTACCATCCTTGGTTTATCACTGACGCAGACATTTCATGGTCGGTGATTTTAAAAGATGCAGACATTTCAAAATCCGCGATCCTAAATGTGTTTTACCTTTTATGTGAATCGACTTTACTCAACGTCCGAGGTGGAAAGGTTCAAAAGACGGCACCAAAAGAGGAATACGTTTCGTATGACATAAATCTACGCCAACCGACTCTCAGATACATATCGGTCAAAGAATATACACTCTGTTTCATTAAGACCCTAAAGAGTGATTGCCTACTTCCATCTGAATCACTAGCTTGTTACCGTTTGCGCCCAGAATTCTACATTAATCACGACACTGACTTCCAACTTTGGGATCCCCTGAGGGCACCAAAAAGCACTTCCGCTCGTGATAATTCTAACATGACTCAACGAATAAAGTCAACACTGATTCAACATTGCTCAATGAGGTTAACTACTACCAGCACAACCCAGAGATGCCGGCACAATCTGGTCATGTCTCGTGCCAACCACACGGCTTTTGTCAACGATCAAGTTACTGAAATCGAATTGATTGAGGCCGCCAAGAAAAGCGTATGTCGATCAGAAATGAAGCAAAAAAGGGCATCCCAACAGAGGCCTTACTCTGCCTTCAATTAACATGCAGAGACTAATACTAATCGAGCAGCTCAATAAAAAAAAGTTGACTCACGACCCCCCACCAACTAGGCACGTAAGACTCGAAATTCATCAGCAAGTTGCGAGCTTTTCGTCCAAACCCTGCAACTCTACTCTCCCTCATTCAATCCATGCATGCCCAGCAACAACCCACAATCGAATCACCAACAAGCAATCCACAAAGAAATGGAAAAACCCGGGTCGAAAGGAAAATGGAACCTGAAAAACCGGGAGCGACAAGGGCTCGAGACAGACGGGGCAGTCGAGCACATCCGGGTCCTCGAGAGTGAACTCCAGCGGCCCGCCCGTCCGGCCGTACGGAGGGGAGGACCCGCCACGACCGTACGAGGCGTCGTCCCCGCACCCTTCCGTGGACACCGATCGGTCCCCACCCTGCTCTTCCGATTCTTCCTCGCTCAGGTTCAGCTCGTCTCCCCCATCGCTGTCCGACTCCCCGTCGTCGTCGTCGTCGTCGTCGTCCTCCTCCTCCTCCTCCTCCTCCTCCTCTTCTCCTTCTCCGCCACCCTCTTCATCCTTGACGGGCAGGCGCCGGCGTCGGCTCCGGCTGCCTTCTCCCTGCTCCGACGGGTGGTCGGAGGAAGGTGGGCGGCGCCGCCTGCCGAGCACGGAGCCGCCGGGCACCTCCTCCACCTCCTGCTCGTCCTCTCCCTCCACTGAGAACCCCGCCATCACTGCCCCCTGGTGTAGTAGTAGTAGTATCTCCCGTTCCGACTTGTTAGGCCTACGTGCGAGGCTCGTATTTATATACGTACGACTACTCAGGATACATCAGTATAGAGTCTAGGTACACCGGCTTATACGATGCGAGGGAAAATAATTCCCCCAAAAGTTTTTCATTTCATTTCATTTTCATCTTCGATTTTAGGGCATTATCCTAAAATTTGGATTTGCTCGAGAGTTGGACATCGATCTATTTTTCGAAAGGTTTTCATGATTATTTGTCGGGCGTCCGGTAATAACCTTGGTACTTATAATTAATGCGGATTCTGAATCTGAATCGCACGAATGATCCATTTGTCCTGCTGAAGACGGCTTTTTTCGTCATTAATTTTCCAAGCACGGGCGAATATCACCGTAAAAAAACAAGTGATGGATAAGAAATATCGAAATACCGAGGCAAACACCCTCTTGATGTATTGGAAAGCTTATCCTTATCCTGCCGATTATTACCACCAATTACCTGGTAACTAATTAAATGGCAAATTGGGAATTCGAAAAGTGGCATCGATCGGTCAACCCGGTCCAAATGCATCGTGGAGCAACAAAATGTCGAACCCGCCCGAGCCAAAAATACCCTTTTGATGTATTGGAAAGCTTATCCTTAGCTAGTTATTACCACCAATTAACTAGTAACTAATTAAATGGCGAATCGGGAATAGGAAAATGATTTTTGGAAGGTGGGATTGGTCGGTCGACCCAATTCAAATGTACCATGGAGCAATAAAATGCCAAACTCGCCCAAGCCAAAAACCCTTTTAATGTATTGGAAAGCTTATCTTTATCCTACTAATTATTACCATCAATTAACTGGTAACTAATTAAATGACGAATCAAGAATAGGTAAATGATTTTCGGAAAGTGGGATCGGTCAGTCGACCCGGTCCAGATGCACCGTGGAGCAATAAAATGTCGAACCCGCCCGAGCCAAAAACCCTTTTGCTATATTGGAAAACTTATCCTTGTCCTGCTAGTTATTACCATCAAATTTTTTTTTTGGGTCAAATTATCACCAATTAACTGGTAACTAATTAAATGGCGAATCGGGAATAGGCAAATGATTTTCGGGAAAGTGTGATCGATCGGTCAGCCCAGTCCAGATGCACCGTGGAGCAGCAAAATGCCGAACCCGCCCGAGCAGAATCGAACCGCACTATCCGGCTCGGTTCGAACGGACCGGTTCCTGGGTTGAACCGGCTCGCATCGTCTTCTTTGTCGAACGGGAAGTCCATCTGAAGCTTTTCACGATTGACGAAGAGCCTCGGTAGGGAGAGAGGAGGGCAACTCGTGCGGCGAAGCGAATCGATGGAGGGGGCTTTGGCGTGCTCCGTCGCGCAGACGAGGCTTCAGGTTCCGATCCCTGGCTCCGGCGGCCACCGCGGTTGCGCCGGCGGCGGCGGCTGCCGGAGGAGGAGCGGGAGGTGTGCGGTCAGAGCGGTGAAGAGCGGCGGCCACTCCTTGTCGGCGGCGAGGCCGACGCTGTCGAGCAATTGGGACGTCAACGGCGGCGGCGGCGGCGGCTTGTCCATCTCTTCCGTCGCTCCGACGGCCCCTTGGTTGCCCAAGTTCGAGGAGCTCGACACCACCAACATGCTTCTCCGCCAGAGGATCATCTTCTTGGGTTCCCAGGTCTCTCTCTCTCTCTCTCTCTCTTGTCGTCGAATTGATTGGTGCCTGTAATTTCAGCATGCTGGAACCTTAGCTTCTCTGGTTTCGATGTGAGTACGAGCTTCGAGCTTTCGGGTTATGGAGGACTTGATTGATAGGTTGGGAATGGCGACACCGTGTGGTGAAAGTGTGAAATGTTTGAAACTAGCGATTGGGGAAGAAGCTTAAGATCTACTTGAATTAAAACATCTTGAGAGCTCCAAAACAAGGCGGTCGGAAAGATTACTTTTTGAGTGCATTTGGAGATGGAAATCTGAATTCGTTGTGAATGCCTTTTTTGACAGGTTGATGATGTGACGGCGGATTTCATAATAAGCCAGCTCTTGTTTCTAGATGCCGAGGATCCCACCAAGGACATCAAATTATTTATCAATTCTCCTGGTGGCTCTGTTACCGCCGGTGAGTTTGAGATTTATAGTCTGGAGCTTAATACTGTTAAAAGAAGTATCTTTCTTGTTCGAATTTGCCGGTGCTTACTGCTTATAGAGTAGTAGTTTCTTCAATGGGGATATTAAAAGGTTTTCCATGTGATGGTAGGAGTACAGTTTGGAGGTTGCTCATCTGCATTGTAGGCTTGTAATGTGATGGTTTACAGGTGGTTTTGCAGGATGGAGTGGCTATTCTGAAGGATTACAATAGACTGTAGAGTAGGAGTAAGAATGGAAAAGTTGCGACCTACTTTGGTTCAGGAAATGGATAGCTGACATGTAATTGTACTCCTCTCAGTGGTTTAATAATAATAGATTGTGGAATGATCTAGGAAGAATTAAGGAAAATTGCCATTGTAGTTCTAGCATGCTAGAGTGGGTACAATATTTGTGTCGAAACTTATTTTAAAAAGGCGTTGTGCAATGGATTTTGCTGCCATTTGCAATCACTTGTCCATGCAATAGTCATTATCACCATAGTAGCGCGAAATCACAAAAATTACATGTTAACAAAGGACCTTTGAAATGCTATGAACAGGAGTCTCCAGTTTGAAAGCCCAAAAAGTGCAACAAAACCTGAATTATTGCTCTAGTGAACTGTGTCAATGGCATCTTCCTCTGGTTGTTCTTTGAAGTTGTTTGGGTGCTCTACAAGGGTAAAATTGAGTTAACCAGGAAGAAAGTAGGATAAGGCGTTGATGTCAATGTCGGTTGGAGCTGGAAGTGTGGAGTGAGTTGAGCGCTTGGACGGGCAGAAAGAAGCATCAGTGCTGTGGAGCTTCAGTAGCAGAGTGGATTGAGCTCAGTTGACAGCTGGATTAAGGCGTAATTAGTAGTGGAGGTGCAGCATTGATGCAATTCAAGTGCTGGATGGTTACTAAAAACAGAAGAAAACAAAAGACAAAAAAATTTCAAATGCCGGATGGATATATAGATATTTCATGAATAATGGAGTTGCAGGGGGTAGCTGTTGTGCTAGATGGGTGGGCAAAGACACAAACTTATATATGATGCCTTGAGGAACTATATTCATGCTGTGAATAATTGAGGACATTCAAGGACAGAAGTGGTTTAGCTATTTTCGTCTGGGCTGGAATAGCTGTGCCCTTCAGAGTTGTATGAATAAAATACCTTCTGAAATTACTAGCAGAGTTGTAGGAATAAAATACCTTCTGAAATTACTAGCCTGCCTCCTTTTTGAGACAAACATTGGAATAGCTATTCCATCACTGGACTTTAATAGCCATGACCCTTAATTTTTATTTATTTTTTGTAAACCATGACTCTTCATTAAGCAAGCTGTTAGTGCACATTGACAGAGAAAGTGCCTTTTCAGAGTTGCAGTACAATCACTTTTATCTGGTGTCATTGAGTAGAAAACATGTTTTCCTAGTAAAATGTAATGCTGGAGTTGTCATTAGAAAGGTGAGAACTCATTTTCTTCTAAAATTTAAACTGCAACATAGAAGTTGTTATTAGAATTTTACATATGAAGGGGTCAGGTTAATCATCATAGGGGAGTTTGAGGCTTGCCAAAGAAATAAAGGAGTTAGATGACAGTCCGATTTAAGCAGGATTGTCCCTTGTAGAAGACAAGAACAACATTGAAATATGATTTGGACAAATCAAAAGAAAAAGGGGCAGTAGATGTTGTAGAATAGATGTGCTTGTGTCATTTTTCGATAACAAATGGAGATATTGCCATGTTATGTGTTTCAATTGGTTGTGCGTAATATGCTCTATAATCTAGTTGAAAACATTCTCAATGCTTAACCTTGTACTTCAACTTCACTGTCAATGTAGGAATGGGAATATATGATGCAATGAAGTTGTGCAAAGCTGATGTTTCAACTATTTGCCTGGGGCTTGCCGCATCTATGGGTGCCTTTCTCCTGGCTTCTGGTTCAAAAGGCAAGAGATTCTGCATGCCAAATGCCCGAGTGATGATCCATCAACCACTTGGAACTGCTGGAGGCAAAGTATGTTTGATTTTGGACTTGTTTTTTATCATCCCATATAAGCTAAAGCCATTGTTCATGTCTTTCAAGGCTTGCTTGCGTTGTTGTAGTTCATTTCACTTGACCTCATTTGTAAGAAGTTCTTGTATATCTAAATATATTGGAGGGACTTGCTGTGTAGGACCTTGATTCAATATCCTAGATCGTCCCATCTCTCCTCTGCATGGTTAGAATTTGGATTTTACTTTTCAAGTTCAGAGATGCGGATTATTTGCACAGTTCGACGCCTAAAGTGGAATCTTTTTCCCCTAATTAGGAGTTTAAGCTTTCTTTGTGATGACAGGCCACAGACATGGGCATTCGGATAAGAGAGATGGTGTACCACAAGATTAAGCTTAACAAAATACTATCAAGAGTCACAGGGAAGCCTGAAGAGCAGGTTGGACATGAAAAAGATCTATGGACTCGCATTTTCTTTGTATCTGCCACCTGTGATATCGGTCAAGAGTCCATTATCATGTTCTTTTTCCTCTTTCTATGTGCAGGTTGAATTGGATACAGACCGGGACAATTTTATGAATGCTTGGGAAGCTAAGGAATATGGGTTGGTTGATGGAGTCATTGATGATGGGAAGCCAGGTCTGGTTGCTCCAATTGGAGATTCGGTGCCTCCGCCAAAAACACGGGTATGGGATCTGTGGAAAATTGAAGGCAGCAGGAAAGCCAGGAAAAATTTACCCTCAGAGCACAAGATTTTAGAGAATGGATTTACCGGCGGACGAGGAAATGATGATGATAGGGGTACAGCACAAGAGAATGAATCACCCACACCTGTGTAGGGGTTAAGCTGCTATGTTAGACACAAGCTGTGATATTTTCTTTTGGAAGAAACTCTAAAATCAGATTTCTCTCAAATTGTGAGGTTCGTGATGAGAAGAAGAATAGTTGATTTAGAAAATAATTTCCTTTTTTTGAGTTCTCTAACAGGATAGGTGCCATCATCAATCTAATCTGTATGTGCAGCTAAGAAGGATGCTTTTCAGGTTTGCATTCGGCCTGCGAAAAAATTCATTTACACAGACTGGTGTGGATGAGTGATGTGTTTTCTGAAGGCTATTTCGGAAGCATGATCAACTTCTTTTTGACTCTGATATATACAGCATTTATCTAGACTTGTGGCTGCTCAGCCTCGGCCCTCAGGTGTCATTCATCTAGACTTGTTGATATGGTTTGGATGCGGCTGAGGAAATGGCAAGGGCTCCGGAAGATTACAACTTTTTTACATGGCAAGTTGCTCGTGGAGTCCTTCACAAGCTTGGCAAGAGCTAGGCATAATTTAACCGATGATAGTTCCGGTTCCTCCGTGTCTTACATAAGTTGTCGGATTGTGAATTGAAATTCTGGTCACTTTTGTCTGGCAAACCCAGTGGAGGACGAGCTTCTCTCTCTTGAGTTATGCTGGTGGCTAGTTCGACATGTATCTCGGCATTGTCCAACTTGGCCAGAGGGACGGCGCATTGCGGGGCTTTCCTTGTTCGCATTGCGTGTTGGACATGGAGATAGAGTTCTTCTGTGTTCGAGTGTCATTTGCTTGCTTACCGGACTTCGGCTACTTATGTTATGCTGCAAAATTGTGTGAATCAATTGCTGTTGCAAATTGCGGTCCCTAACTTCCAGGATATTCAAAAAGAAAACCCTGGAATTCTAATTTCCTCCAGAATGTCTTAGCAAGTCACATACCTCTGGCTCCTCAGGATACGAGGATAGCAGTAACATCGTTTTTTTAACTTTAATCATAACTCCTAAGAATGAGACCAACAGTTATTTCATGATATGCCAACCATGCACCGGAAGGACTTGTTAGAAATTCAACACAATTCACTATGTCTGGTTGATTGGAATTGGAAAACTTTTATCCATATGTAAGCCGTGACGGGCTTGTCTAAAATGAGCCGGAGTTATGACTGTAGTCAAATATTTTGGCGTGGTGTAGAACTCCTTTGGTAATACTTAAGAGGGTCACTATGCTAGTCATCCATTTCCATCCTTTTTATTTATAAAAAAAATTATACACAGAATCCAATATTTATTGTGTTTGATCCTCAGTGTTTAGCTTGTGCAAGAGTTTTTTTTTTATTGCAGTAAGAGTTGACTATCCTAGAATATATTTTTTTTCTAAAGGTGAATTTGTTTCTCGAAAAGTGAATTATTTGAAAAATAAAAAAATTTTGAAAAATAAAAAAAATAATCATTTGTAGCGATTACAAAAATGGAAGAACGAAAAATTTTTTTTACCTTCCACGAAAATGCTCAGACATAAATTGCTTTCTAATTATTTCAAACGATATAAACGATTATTTTTTGAAAATATTTTCCAAATCATTTATTTTATGTGAAATTAACGGTGCCTTAAAGTGTATTTGTTTTAAACAAAATATCAACGATTTCGAAAATATTTTCTCAAAAATAATTGTTTGTATTGTTTAAAAAAAATTAGTCAATGAAAAACATTTTCATGATTACCGATTTATGGCTAAACTATTTCTTTATGACGAAAATATTCTTTGCTAGTTCATTTTTTAAGTGACACTAGTGATAATTCTTTTTTAAAAATGTCAATATTTTTCGTTGACTCATATGTGTAAACGATACAAGAAATGCCTGGATATTAGCCTATTACTGTTGGGGAAAAATCAAGCAAGTGAGAAGAAGAATAGATTCAAACTATGAGGCGTGATAATACTCTCTTGAAAGAATTATTTGCTCCGCAATGTTGCTAATGGTTATTGACAAAAGATATAACAAAATCTCGATGAGAATACCAGATAGCAATTCTGGTATTTCTCCAAGAACTCTCAAAGGGAAACAATCGGAAACAATTGTTGTATTTCTCTTTTGGAAAGAAACGAAAATGGAAGAAGAAGATCAGTATTAAATAGACACATTAGGGAATCAATAGCAAAATACAAGAAGATATATCCGAACAGACACAACCTTCCAAAAGTTAAGAAGTTATGTCTGAACAGATACGATCTCTGAAATAACTACAGTCGAAGAAAGAAAACTCAGAATTAAATAAATAATAAAAAAATAACCATAACTCCTTTATGAACAATTGCACCGTTTCAATAGGACATTATGGTTAATTTTTATAATTATAAATCCGAAATTAATTAAATAATAATAATAATTGTTGATTAGTTCCAAATCTAGTCCACATGCATACTCACATCGTTTTGATGTCGCCAAGGCACCTCTTAGCTTGTTAACTAAAATTTTCTGCAAAAAAGAATCACATTATAAGATGCGACTCTTATAAATAGAATGTGCTTTGATGGAAAGAACCGATTGATAGCCTATATAAATAGAATCTGGTTCTCTCTCCACCCAAGACAACGAACGGCTGTATTCTATCAGCCATCTAATAAAATACGTTAAGAAAAAGTGAGTTAAAGGAGAAAAATCGATTTTTCTTCATTTCTTATGTTTTTGCAATAATCATTTTCAAAGTAATTGCTATGGATATAGCTTCATCCATAGCAATAACCTTGAAAATGATTGTTGTAGAAAGAGAAGAAATCAAGAAAATCCGATTTCATAAACGGTAAGGGATAATGTAATTCAATAATGCAGAAATTTATTATCGAAGAATCTTAGATTTTCATGATTTTTTACCATAAGAAGGATGAAGACAACCATCTATCTATAGCAATAACCTTGAAAATGATTGTCGCATAGACAGAAGAAATGAAGGAAATCCGATTTCCCTCCAGGATACTTTGTTGTATCCAGAAGGACTTTTGTCAGTAACTATTAGCAATGATGTGCAGCAAATAATTTCTTAAAGAGAGTGTTATCACACCTCAAAATTTGATTTCATTTTTTTTTCTCGATTGCTTGATTTTTCCCCAACAATTACTACTAGAATTTGATCATGATTGAGAGACACAGTATGTAATCGATTCCATTCCAATGCGAATACATGTGAACTATCAAAAATGTGAACTATCAAAAAAGATGCGAATACATTGTAACTTCTCATAAAGCTCTTCTGAAAGTAAATGCTTGTAATCAATTGCATAGTTGTGTTTTTGGGCTCAACACAGGGGAACGAACAAGTGTGGTCGAACGAATTCATCGATAGCAAACAAGTGTCGCGAGGAAAGAGCCGAACAAAAGTTAGACATTGCATGAAAATTGAAATTTAATGGAGTGGTTTTTTTTTTTTGGTCGAAAAGCGAAATGTTTCATTCATTAACCGAAAAAGGATAACATAAGTTATGGATTTCTGAACATAAAAGATCCCATAAAGGTAAAGGTGGTTCTACAAGCCAGTCATGCGGTAGGACTTTTCTGCGGTGAGACTTAGCTAATCAATCCGCCACTTGGTTGGATTCGTGTGGGCTATAGACCAGTTGAACATACTTGGACCGAGCTAGCATCTCTTTGCATTCCTCCAAGATAGCCTACAATTCCCATGGGCCTGTGGTCTGGCCTGCAACAATATTCACAAGTGATGAGCTGTCAGAACTTAAGACCACGTGCAGATCAGATTTCCTCCACAGTTCGTGTTCTCTTCTCCACAGATCAGTTCCATCTTCCAAGTACAATAAAGCAGCTCGCAGTGCTAGGGTTTCAATTTCCAGCGACGAAGAGGCAACCACACGTTCGGCAAAGCCTCCAACTATTCTCCCCATTGAGTCTCGGCAAATCCCAGCAACCGCCCCTTCCCTTTCTCCTTCGACGATCGACCCATCAATATTCAGTTTTACGCTGCCTCTCTCTGGAGAGTGGTTAGCAGGTGGACAAATACTATCGAATAAAACGTGATACATCGAGCTCATTAGCACATAAGACAGTACCATAGTAGCTCAATCATGCAACTTTTATAAACTTAATCATTAAATAAAAAACCAATGATACTGAGGCACATTATGATGTGTCCCTTTCTCATAATTGTTGTAATCAAGCACATTTTTCCTTTAAATAATATAATTATAGATCAGGGTTACATATTTTATTTATTTTCGATTTTTCCCTCCAATCATTACTTACTAAAAAATAGATTTATTTTTCTCCTATCCAATCATTAGGCATATAAAAACTCCTGTAGGAGATCATTGTAGCATTAAGTGCATCATTTGGATCTAGAAGTTCCGGTGAGTTAAATTATTCTTTGCGGACAATCGCACGGATCTATAGGATTCCAAGACAAATTATGTTGCAATCAAAGCGCGAGATACGCCCGAAATAGACGGACGTGTCGCGTGAGTAAATGATTAGTGCAGTTACCATCCTGAAATATATAGTGAAATTGCAATAAGATTTTATTTTTTTTAAAAAGAAAATTGTATTCATTATTGCAAATGATACATGAGAAGTACGTAAACATTCGTGATAAAGCAGATCAAAGTAAAGCAAAGCCCATAATATAACAAAACAAAAGGAGGATCACTGAGTACTTATAAGGTTAAACACACACTCATTCCATAAAAACGGATCTGTCAAGCAAAATAATTGGCGGCTGATCATTAGATCTCGTATCAACGTCAGTGATGAGCATATGTCGGAAATTCCTTCTCCAATAACTACGATATTGTTAGTTGGCGGTTCACGCCTAGGTTCAGCTTCCTCTACATCATCACCGTACGGATACTACCAAAACGGGTTGAAAAAACACATATCTAACTTTCGGAAGAGCAAATCTTCGTAGTTCTGCGAGACGCCAAAACTCCTGCGATCATCATTAAAATTGGAAGCGTATGACTTGTACACAAACAGAGCATGTAGGTATTGAATTCCCGAAAATATTATTAAACTCTTAGATTTAAATTGGGAGAGAAAAGCTCCAAGATCTAGAACTAAATCAAGAGAGTTCCAACTATTAGATCTAAAATTAGACCGGAAGAAGAGAACTCCCAAATTTAGATTAGGAGAGAAGAAAATACAATAAAAGAACAAAATCACTCAAACAAAATCAACGGGAGGGGAGGATGAGACTAGCTCAATCCCTCTCCCATTAGTAGATTATATGAAAATATTCAATGATATCTTTATGTTAATTTAAATTAAATGAAAA